GATGAATTAAGGGAATCAAACTTTACAGTCCCTTTGCAGAATCAATGAGTAAATTTTGTCATTCATTCTGAATGAACCAAATTTACTAAAATAAACTATTTTACTACAATAAATGACTTCCAAACCCATTGTATGAGAGAAAGTGAGATGACATTTTTGTAAAGTATGTTTACTATCTCATTCATACTTCTTAAAATTAACCTAATATTTTGGCACACTACACCGCTATTCGTTGCAAGCTGTAGCTAATCGTTACTGCTGAGCTACAATGATGTTCACACAAATATAGCATCCTTTGCTTGACTACAAATGACAATAATGGATAATTTATATTTCACCATATAGTTCTTACACTATGTTCACCATGTTCAGGCATTAAAAATAAAAAAAATGTTATATAAATATTATTCCGTCTTTAATAGAGATGCACATACTGTTTCCAAGAGAAAAAGTAACATTAGGTCATGCCATCAGTCACGGGGCACTGGAGGGCGAGGGCCAGCTGGGAATTAGGTGTTGCTTTGAGAACACATTTTAAGGGCAGGACCAGGACGTCTCTGGGGACAATAGCATCTTTGAGTGAGAAATGACACGCCTCAGTGTTCTTAGAGAGGAGAGAGTGGGAGTGTAGAGAAAGTTAAAGATGAGAGGCTGGAATGGAGCGGAATGCGGATGCAGCGCGTTTAATAATGCATCTGCTGCTCTTCTGCTCTTGTTCCCCCGGAATCATCTCGACTTCAACATCCTCCAGCTTGTTCCGCGCATGTGTGGTCCCAGAGCCCATATGATTTTCTTTCTTCCGTGGAACGTTTTTTTTGGAGCTTGACAGCCACTATTATGGAAAAGAGCACTCTGGACGTTTTGCAATAGATCTTCATTTCAGTCTTCAGTTCCACAGAAGAAATAAAGTCAAACAGGGTAAATGACAACAAAATTTCCATTTAGGGGTGAACTATTCCCTTAATATACAAAATCCTGTGTTATATTAGTATCACTGATTATACTATTATAGTTTTTGTTTATATCTTTAGATTTTATATTTTCAATTTAAGTTTAGTTTAAGTTTCAGTGTTTTTTGTTTATTAGTTTCTTTTTTTTTTTTTTAAATATGCCTATATAGTATTTATTAATTTTTATATATCAGTATTATTATTTTATTTAATTATTTTAGTACTTATTATTTTAGAACTTTTTGTGTTTTAAATTTAGATAACAATAATAACCCTGTGACAATCATACAATCATTTTTTTCAACATTTTTTTTTTGCAATATGTTTGATAAATACTACAAAAGAATTATACATAAAAGTAAAGTATATATGCAATTTGCTTGGCAACTAGCTGAAATAAAATAAGTTTAAGTTTTTATATAATTTATTTTATTTCAGTTAACTTTTAAGTAACAAAAAGTTTTTTTTGTTTTTGTTTTAACAATAATAACAACCCTGAAACAATTGCAATGGTGTACACAGAGCAAAATGAAATGTTTCTTTTATATTTTTTTCTTAAACAATTTTTGCAAGAATTTGATACAAAAAATATGAAAGAATTATACATAACATTCATAACTAGCTTAAATAAAATAAATTAATTTTTATATATTTTATTTTATTGCAGTTAACATTTATTTTAAGTAACAATAACGCTGCAACAATCTTGCAACTGTGAACACAGAGCAAAAATCAAAAGTTTTTTTTTTTATATATTTTTTACATAAATAGACAACTAGCTGAAATAAAACAAGTAAAATACAAAAACTTTATTTCAGTTAACTTTCATTTTAATATAAGTAACAAATGTTTATTTATTTTTAGTTTTATATTTTAGTTAACAATAATAACCTTGCGACAATCATGCAACTACACGGTGCAAAATCAAAACTTTCTTTTATATTTTTCAACATTTTTTTGCATTTCATTGGTTTCATAAATAATACATATAAAAATTATCCAAGAATTCGATACAAATAATACAAAGGAATTATACAGAAATGTATATATGCAATTGGCCTGGCATCTATCTGAAATAAAATAAGTTTACGTTTGTTTTTTTTAAATATTTTATTTCAGTTAACGTTTATTTTATTTAAAATAATGAATTCCCTTTTTTTCTATAGTTTTAGTTAACCCTGCGACTGTATACACGCAGCAAATTCAAATGTTGATAACCAAGACAGACTGTTCCCATCAGAAACTGCAGGAGGCAGATGAGCCTTTGTTGAGCCACTTAAGAAAGATGATTTGATCTTCTTAGCTTATCGTTCTATTAGACGAGCACCATTAGCGATCTGCAGGGGATTCCTGCACCCCCCACCCCAAGCTTGGAGATCTGCTTCAGTCAGTCAGGCTGCTGGAATCCTGTCGCTCTTAATCAAACCAATTACAACACACTGGGTGTCAAATACCACAGCTCCTTAGGATAGTGACGTTACGCACAAAGACGGCTGATTTATGAGCGCTCTTTAAGCTGACGGGGCCGATCTGCCTCATTTTTCAACTCTTTCTAAAGCAATACCTCATATGTCAACACAGGTGTTGAGTTACACTAACTGCGGCGGTAAACATACACTCTAGAGGATGTTTCCGTTCTCCTTTGATAATGACTTTTCTTTGCATCTGGGTCACATCGCATCTGCACATCTTTCCTTCAAACGGGTGATTCAAGACCACAAACAGCCACACCAGATCAAAATGAAAACATGCCACACTTTATTCGGAGTCACGCAGGTCAAAGGTCATGCTTGTGCAGGAGAAAACGTTTCTTTTAAGTATTCAGATCACAGTAATTTTGTCTGAAATTACTTTACAATTATTTTACAATCGCACCGCATGCAAAACCGTTCAGCCTTTCAGAAATAAGCCACAGGTGCGTGTTCTTTCGTCTCTGTCCCTGTGTTCATGTTTGAGGGATTTTAATACTTTGTTATGGCTCACGGAGACAGAATTAAAAGGATTCAAAAACACCTTCGCCCCAAAATTCCAGTGAAAGATCAAGGTGGACAAGACCCAGTTAAAATCAAAGGTCTAAGCGAAGAAGAGTTGACTGAAGAGATGTGACGTGAGTGTGCACACGTGAGTTATTTTCAGTCACTCTAAACCTGTGCTATTCGACTCGCATGCAAACTACCAGAAAAAAAAAAAACAGGTTCAAATTCACACAGGGTTAGTTTATGACTGTATGAGCTTATAGAAAGATTATATCATGTTCAAATGTTTAGTTACACATAATGGACATGAAGTTTTATGCCCTTTGTAAAAGAAACATAAAAGACAAAACATTTTTCATTATATAGTAATATAAAGTTTTAAATAACCAAAACATCTAAATTATTACGTTTTAATTTTAAAAGAAAATGATTATATTAATCCATTAATATAAATTATTTTATTTCTAATACCTTGATGTTGATTATTATTATTATTATACATTATAATTTTATTTATTATTTTATTTCAATTATTTTCAACAATAAATTGGAGTTTAAAAATTAAATTGATGTATAATAGAAAATATATCTTTTAGATTCTGGGACTGGTCACTATTTCTTTTATATTTTTCAACATTTTTGCAGTTCAGCATTAATATGAGGTTTCATAAATAATTTCTATATAAAAAGAATGAGATACAAATTATACAAAAGAATTATGCAGAAATGCTATTTAAAATAATTTCACATCAACTACTCAAATACACCTAATTTTCTGTCAATAAAATATACATTTTATACAGACTATAGTTATGTTCACAAATACCACACTACCCATAATAGTTTACATTATGTATACTATGAATCTGTGACAATTCCCACAATGTGACGTGATCAACTTTTCAAAATAAATAAATAAATATTATGTATATGTAATTTATTTTAACATTTTATTTATAATCAAAAAATAGAATATAAACAAAAAATATAAACAAAAATATTAGATATATTATAAAAATGTATATATATTTTAATATATAATTTTAATTTATAAAATTTATATATAATTATTTGAATATTATTAGAGAAATATTATTGTGTCACTCAAAACACACACGCACACACACATTATCTGTGAGCAACTTTGCAGTATACAACCTCAAAAACTTAATGGAAGCATATTCCCACAATTCAATGTAGTCAACTTGACCATCCATAGTAAAAAGTATACAGTAGTACACAGAACGCATATATTGGCTATGCATGTGCATGTGTGTGTACCTGAAAGAAGCCCGGAGGAACAGGCCCGACCGGCATCCCCTCTCCTGGGGGCATGTTTCCAAGGATAGGACTCGGAGCTGCTGCTGCACTCTGCAATCACAAACACACACACACACACACACACACACACACACACACAATTCCAGTTAAACACACACATACAGCTACCGACGCTTCCCCAAACACTGCACTGTGATGGTCATTCACCACTCAAGGACAAACACACACACATACACACCCATAAACACACAGTCACTGAAAGCCAAAATCTACATGTCTTAGACAGACACATGGATAGTGTCAATAGCTGCTAACCACCAGAAGAACTGGCTTTCTGTCTGCAAACACATTCAGCCGCCTCTGAAAAATACAAGCAAGCAGGCAGAGATGGTAGAGGTCAGAAGGCCGGCCAAAGACGCATGAAATAAGACAGGATTACTGTGTCTGAGGATGCAGAGAGGCCGCACACCCCATGCTGGGAGCTAATGAGGAGGCCGTTTAGGTTCCTTTGCTAGACTCAGTAAAGCACACACTCAACGCTTGAGGAGAATGGGTCAGTCTGCAGACGTGGATGGATGATGGGTCATCATGTTGACCTTTAGGTCTCCTTCTGGTGAACTCAATCAAATCAATCAATCAATCAAATGTTATTTATGTGTACATTTTCTGATTTATTGGCATTTTCTTCTTCTTCTTAAAATATAAATGATTATAAATGATAGTATGATTAATAATAATAGCAATAATAATAATAAATATAGAATTATATATACATTTGTAGATTTTATTTATTAATATTACTTGGATATATTTACCTTATATACACATCTAAATATAAATAAATAAATATATGTAACATATTATTATATAAATGTTATTTATATTTAACAATGAATAATCATAATAATGTGTTATTTAAAAATGATTACAAAAATAATATTTATTTATATATTTACTCAAAACCTCTAAATATAAATAATATAATAATATATTTAATTACTATACAGACTGTATACATTTTATTATTTTTACTATTTATAATTAATGAAAAATCATAATAAAATAAATAACACACATAATGTGTATGTGTGTGTCAATTTGCTATATATTATTTAAATATCATTACAAAAATATTATTTGTATTATTTGCCCACTTTATTAAAATGTATTTACATATTTATTCATAACTTTGAACTTTCTATCTATCTATAGTTCTATCATTTTATATTTTTATTATTTATAATTAATAATAATAATAAATAACATTATATATATTAAATCATATTATGTACTTATGTAACCTATAAATAAATATGATAAATGTGATAAACATGTCTGTTAAAATACATTCATTTATATAACTGAGTTAAACATACAGTGATGAACAGCAGCATTTTACTAAATATTTTGCTACAAAACAGAATACTTTTTTTAAACAGTTCTCATTGGAAAAAGTACTGGAAAAGTTGCATTGTTTTGAAAACAGATGAGCCGCAGTCATGCTACTGAAAAATGTAGTTAAGTTAGTAGCGTTGCTGCTTTTAGTTACAGTTAACACTGTACATGAGGACTCTGTGCGTTCAGTAATCTTTGTTTTGACATCCGACAACAGCCATCAAGTGACAAACTGGCTGGGATTGAATGTTTTATCTAGCACTAGGGTGCTTGTAAGTGCCACAGCTCCAGGTTGGATTGGCACATCGGCACGGCCACAGCACCAAGACCAACTGTGCTGCAATGACTAGAGATTGTGTGTGTGTGTGGAGCATTACTGACAAGCAAAGAGAGAGAGACACACACTTAGACACAACAGTCTGATTACCCTTGGCACACAGAGAAATGAGCAGGGGAAATGCACTCACATCCACCCAGTTGCTGGCAAATGGAAGGTGAAGAAATACACGACTCGGAAGGAGAGTTTTCTAATGCTAGACGATGAAAATAGCTACAGCACTTTTAACAACAGTTCACCTAGATCAACAAGACATCATAAAAATCACACGTCTGTGGCGTTTTATCGACGCCAAAGCCATCTTTTGTGGTGGTAAATAAGGTCCCGCTGCGAGGGATCTGAATATTGTGTTTTCCTGCAGTAACGCTGAAGTCTCATCTCCTGATAGCAGTGGCACAATAATGAGACTAATGCCCTCCGTGCTGAGCAAGCCCTCTATCAAAACTACCAACAAAGATAAACTAACGTCCCTCGGCTCTTCACGGGTCCACAGTCAGTCATAAAACCCTCGCCGCCGAGGGCATGGCAATAAAATCTGGCTTCTGATTAGAGTAACTTTCATTTAGCGTGCCTCCCATTCAGGGGAAACCAAAATGGCACTAATGTAATAAGAAAAGATGTCTGACTTTCTTAAAAGTGAGCTGATAAAAGCGTTAACGGTGATTTGCAGCGGGTGTTTTTAATACAATTGAATATTGAACGCTGTGTACAAGATATGGCGAAAATTTAGAGATTCACTGACTCTCTCTTGCACAATTAAAGGGATTGTTCACCCAAAAATGCACTCATCCTTGAATCACATGAATTTCAGTTTGGCAGAATATCCTAAATTGGCAGACTCTGTCAGGATGAAATGTATTAATAAAAATAAATAAATAAATAAAATGAATTATTTGCAATTAATTAAATATACCTATATATAAATTGTAAAAAATTATTTGAGATAAAACACAATCATAAAATATAATAGTAAAACAAACATTATATATATATATTAAAATAAAGTATAATTCAAGCAATACATAATAGAAATATATACATTATTATAATTATTAATATATAATATAATTATATATACACGCACATATTAGTAATATTACTAATATTAATATTAGTTATATTTGTAATTATTCTAATTATTAAAAAAGTACATTATTTAATTACAGAAATGTAATGAAATAACTACAGAATGTAGAATATAATAAAGAATAGAGAGAGAGAGAGAGAAAGAAAGAGAGAGAGTAAGAATTATTTTTAGTATATTACATTTTTAGAATATAGAGTAATATTTTTACAAATTGCATTACATTTTTATAAAACTAAACATTTTATATCTACAAAAAATGTTTTATAGACACACACACACGCACACGCACACGCGCACACACACACACACACACACACATAAAAAAAACATATAGCTGGTTTTCCAAGTAAAAACCGCCAAATAAGGTTTACACGTAGTTACTAGGGATGTAACGGTATGAAAATTTCTTATCACGATTATAGTGACCAAAATTATCACGGTTATCGGTATTATCACGGTTTTGTTCAAATGTGCTGGAGATGTTAAAAAAGTACCGACACATAAATCACTTCACCAAGTTTTATATTTAAAAATCAACAAACAACAAATAAAATGACTTTTTGTTTGCATAATCACTAAAACAATAACCTTACCAATGATGTTCGGATTTTAAATGACAACTTGACTGACAACAGTTTAATAGCATGTTGAAATATCTAATGTAAATGTTCAAATAAAGCTTTGAAAAAGTTTAATAAAAAGGTAGACCTGACATTTCAGCCTTTAAATAAAGAAAAGATATAAGTCAAAATGATAATCGATTAATAAATGATTATATGTATTTTATCTGCTCCATCAATAATTCTAGATAACTTATCTGAATTGTTTAAATGTGTAGAATCCACATAAGCTTGTTTTTCATCAACCGGTCAAAATTTACAGCAGGGCATGCAAATTCGGTCCGTTTTTGGCCAGACAGAAACTGCACACAGGCTGTATGTAAATATAGGTCTCTGTAAATCCAGTCGCTGACAGCAGGTGGCGCTTATGGAAAAGCTGAATTAGAGCTGTTTCCCGTAACCTTCGTGGACAAAGCAGTATCGCGATTAAGAACACTTCCTTTAGGTATTACATGGAGCGAAGATGAAAACAAAATGCCATCGAATCGTTTCTGAAGACAGTTAGAACCTTCAGAGGTACATTCATATAATTAATTCATATATTTATACATATGTATATATACAGTATTTATTTATCGTGAGTTCTTCAAATTGCGGTAATCTAATATGAAACGGTAATACTAACCGTGAGGAATTTTATCATGATTTATCGTCAAACCGGTAATAGTTACTGTTACAGAGGAGGCTTCCGTACCGCCTCCTCCTCACCACCAGACGGAACTCTCTCCACACACACACACATTTAAGCCAAACACTCACATCAACTCACTGCGATGTCTTGATTTGCCCCTGCTGTCACTACTGAGCGTTTACCCTGTATCTTGCCTACTCGTTTGACCTTGGACTGTTTATCGTACTCTGATCTGTCTCCTCCTGCCCTGACTTGGATTGTTCTACTACTGTGATTGTCTGCCGCCTGCCTCGACCTCCTGCCCGTCCCACGTTCTGTCTCAGCCTAGCCTCCGCTATTGTATCTACTGGTGATTGACCCTGTCTTGTCTGTGTACGCAATAAACGCTGCAAATGGATCCACACTCTGCTGATGATTTGCAACAGTTACATCCCTAGTAGTTACGTTATGATACGTAATCAGATCGTGGGGAGATGGGGGGGATTCCCCCGGTCTATATGTCTCTCTGCATCAGCTAAATTATTTTTTATTCACAGTGAATAGGAGTTAAAACTCCCACCTGGTTTATATCGGCCACAATTTTATAACAAAATGTTTTTTTTAATTTACCACTTAGGCAATAACGTTGACAATAACATATATCTTCAGCATACGTTGTCTATGACCAAAAATGTATGTTGTTCAGTGGACTTTTAAAATTTGCTTTGCTTGAGAAAATAAAAATATACAGTTACAGTGTTTGTTTTCTTTTGATTTAGTCGAGTTGGTTTTGCATCAAACACAATGTAATTTTCGGAAATCGAGATCTGGCAGCAACAGCGCATTTTTCCGCTTGGGCGAGCGCTTCACAAACAGTTTACCTCGCACATTAAATCTGCCACAGACCAGCAAATCACCGAGAACGCGCTATAATCCTGACGAGTCATAGCAACAGAGCAGAGGCGAGAAAGCTGCGGAGAATCCGCTCGCCCGGAAGCAACCATAAGTGACGTAGATTTACAGAAAATTACTGCCGTTTGG